GGGGAGCTGAAATGCAATTTCACCAAACAAAGGTAGCAAGTACACCAACCGCTTGTAGTCGGATTTCGCAGCAGGATCATGAACCACCAATTCATGAGGCCCTTTGAGGCGCTTGGCAAGGTCACTGGTGGCAAGCTTGTCCGAAACTGGCAAAACAATGACGGCGGGACCATCGAACTGGAGCCTCATTAGGTCAACGATTCCAGCTTTAGTCGTCATGATAGCTCCGGCCTTCCTGGCCGCCGCTTGAAGCTTATGCGTTTGCGGGAGGGGCGACCCTTTGGAATCAATGATCGGATGAGCCGAGGGTAAGACGAGATCTTCCCATTTCGTGCTGAAGAGCTGCCGAGGTTTTTTCATCCAAGGGTCGGCAACAAGCCACGGATCAACACTTGCAGAGCTCTTTGTGGCCGGTGAAGCCGAAGCAGGTGGCTTGGTCTTCGTTCCTCCATGTTGAGGGGACATTTGAGCATCATCATTGGGGCCCCCGGCGGCATCATAGGCAGGAGCAACCCTGCCTTCAAGGACACGAAGCAAGAAGGACGAACGGACATCGAAAGCAAGCTCGGCAGTGGAGTCGGGGATGGTTGACCTCTGCCAGGCACGTGTTCCTTGGAAGCGAATGTCAGTAATCAGGTGGCGATGTCGTGAGGCCTCAAAGACATGCCCTGCAGCAAGGGAAATGTCCGGAATTGTTGAGCCGAATCTGGCGAGCACACTTTCAAGTAAAGTCCATCCACACATGTTGGCCTCAGTGACAAAAGGCACGAAAACAGCTTGGAGGGCAGCAGGCTGAATGCCCAGCACACGGACGACATGTCCTGCAATGTCTGGCAAGTGGACAGCATAGTCAGGAGGAGCAGAGAAGAAGAGGCTGTGGAGGCCTCCAGACGACGAACGAAGTTCGAGCAAAGTCCACGAAGACAGCACAATGACTGGCCATAAGACAGTTGGATGGAAGCGGACATCAGGCGTTCTTCCACAGTAGAAGTCAAAGCGCTCATGCTCGACGTTCCACCTCGCCGGAGGAGCGAAGTAGACATCAACGCGGGTCGGCCGCAACATGTCAAGAATAAGGTCAAATTCGTCTGAAGCCAACCAAAAAGGATGGTCACGAAGATGGTGCAGGCGCTGGATGACATGAAAGTCAGGCACAATCGGATGCTGGAGGGCAGCGGTCGGTACGCGAGCGGGCGGAGGCAGATTGCTGTCAACAAACTGAACTTGCATGGGCTCGGACACCACTGCTGCTTGGCTGCTGCCAGCGGAAGCAAGGAAGGAGAAAAAAGCCGAAGACGGGCAGGATGAATCCACTCTTGCATAGGAATGCCAGCACACTGCCAATCCTGCACAGCTGAAACAAGAACATCATCAATCAAATGACGGCACTCCAACGAAGTCTGCCAATAGCCATCGTCCTCAGGAGGAACTTGATCAGCAAGGTTGGCGTGCGACAGCCACCTAAGGAGAATTTGCCAACCACACATGTGATCACGCGGTGGAAGTTCGACTCGTACAAGCTGGATGCGATACACAGTAAGGTCCAACAAGCGGGCAACAGCATCAGCAACATGGTGCGAAATCGTGCCTGGAAATCCAAGAATGGTAACAATAGTCCTGTGACTGGACCTGTGAATCTCGACCGCAGCCCAATGGGCATTGCACAACACAGGCATCAAAGTCAAACGGTTGTTTGGAACCTGGATTTCCTCCGTGGCCGTGAGGTCGAAGTCGAGGAGGTTCAAATCCCACAGCACAATGGGTGTGATGAGAGCAAAGATCGGATTGAGCCATTGGATGTAGTCAAGGAAGTGTTGCATCTCATCCGACGCCAACCAACCGGAGGAGTTGATTGCAAACTCACACCTCGTAGCAAAAGACGCACCTTGAGGAATGGACAGGCGGTCAGAGCCGTGGTGCCCCCCGGCCAAGACAAGATTTGGACCCTGGAAAGAGACATGGAGAAAGTCACCATGCTGCAGAGGAGCATTGACGACATCATTGGCGACCGAAACCCCGTTAACACAATGGATCTTGAAGAGGCCTGAGTCAATCTTGAGCAGGTTCGATGAGCTGGGCTGCTCTTCAATGGTGACAAACCAGGGCAACGGCTGAGCAGAGAACAAAGCGACAACAGGCTTCGCAGGTGTCTCCTCGGTAGTACAACTCGAAACCCAGGCATCGTCAGAACCTCTCGGTGCAATGCATCGCCTCTTGGACGGAGGAAAGACGGAGCCGAGCACATCAGAGCAATTTGAAGCGGCAGGTGCAGTGAAGGCAACGGCAGGAGTGCTCAGAAAGAACACACCACGTTCACACGAAGCATGTGCTCTGTCATCGGCTTCATTTGCCCTCAGCACTTGACAAAAGGTCCGGTGGCCAAGCAGTTGGTCAAGGGAAATGGCAACACCCTGGGCACGACCATCTGACGGGACGGTGTATGGAGCAGTCGGTGACACAACGGCTTCGCTCTGCACCTGGATGTTGTGGTCACTTCTAGGCTTCGAGTCACCGGTAGATGAAGTTGGTGCTGGAGCCTTGCCATCAAAATCAATGACTGCAAGAAGCCTGCCTGCCAAATACAAGAACCAACGGCTGGACAAATTGGCAAGATGCTCGATCGAGTGAAGATTGCAAATGCGTTCCTCATCATGCCAAAGGTGCATGTGTTCTTGGATAGGGTACTTCCATGAGAACGGTCGAAAGAAGTCTCCAACAGTACTGGCACAAGGGAGCAGGGAAGTATGTCTGACACACGTCGGATTGTGCAACAGGTGGACAACCACACATTGAACGCCAGGCGCAACAACAGGAGACTGGAAAGTAGTTTCAGTTACGGCACTGACTGAAGGGCATAGCACATGGAATCGGTCATCTGAAATGATGAAGCCAGTGTAGGAGGTGGTGCGATGATTCCACTCCTGTGTGATGAATGCATCATGATCGAAATGCTTCCGTGTGAGAGTTGCAACTCCTGAGATCAAGACCATCAAGGCTTGCGGAACAGCTACCGCATTGCCGATTTGGCGAAAGGCTAAACCCAATTTGGCCGATACCACCACATTCTCAACAGCTCCGAACATCGCAATGAAGCGAAATGGGTCGAAGAAGGCTGGTTGCTCATCCCTACTGTGTAACACCGCAAAAATGCCTTTATCTTGCAAATGAGACATGGACAACTGATGCTGAGTCGAGTACGATGCACAGAGCGTTGGGATCATCTCGTCAAGGCGCTGCATACGGGACTCCAGGACCTTAGAAGCCGGTGTGTCACGTGGAAGGTCATGGCGTTTGGATGCAGGCAGCAGGTTCCAATCACTGTATGGGGCTTTCTCCGAAGTGGAAAGGACCAATTGCTCGAGCATGGATCTAGGGATGACGAAGTTGTACTCTTGTGCGGACCACGGCAAGACTTTGGATAGCACAACGTCGGCTGGTGGGCTACACGGTCCAGGCATGCAATCCAATCTCATCCAAAGGCCTAGCCAGCGGGAGCGAGCAGTGTGCGAAATCGTTTGGAGATGTGAGATCTTGTGCCAAAGACATCGATAACCTAAACGATGCAACAACTCGTCAACAATGGGAAAGTGCTTGTGGGATGGAACCTCGGCGGCACATTCAAGACCCAGAGCTAACGGTTGCGAAGCAGCTACCAGCATAACCCCCTCGATGAAAGCAAAGCCGGCTGCGGATGAGAGGCCCGTCATTTTGCCTCCTCGAGACCAAGAAATGCAGGGCGGACTGGCAGTTAGGATCAAGTTAGTAGTACTTGAAACTGCATGCAACACGGACCAATCTTTAATGTCAGCATGGATGACAGTGTTGGCACGTGGTTCGAAGGCACATCTTGGAATCAGCGGGCTCTGCAAACATGGTTGACGAAGCTTGTGGGTCCACGTCTGGATGACTTCATGGTCATTGTCAATGAAAACCTGGCTCCCCAAAAGCAAGGAAGGGTCCATCTTCGGAAGCAGCCCAAAGGCTTGTGACCAACCACAAAAGGACCCCGCAAAGGCATGAATAGCATTCCACTGGTCATCTGGTGAAAACTCCGGGTATAGAAGCAAGACCACATTGGGATCGGCGACCCACTCAAGATCAGCTTCACGTCGGAAAGCACCAGCACACACAAATCTCGTCCCCTCGCGCACCAGCGTCGCTCGATGAGTCAGGCGAGGGATGCGGAAGGAACACTGGGATGAAGCATCAACATCAAAGATAAATCCCTTGGTGGGAATAAAGGATGCAAGCTTGCAACACAAGGTATCCTTCACAATCGAATCGCATGAACCAGCAAAAATCTGGACTTCCTCCCACTGGATGCAGTGGCCACCTGAAAGACCAGAAAAAATGCCCAAACACTTCGATCGCCAGGGATCCTCCACCGAGGACAAAACCTCATCAAGCATCCCAACCATGGCTCAGTCCACAAGGAAACACACAGGCCAAGTGGTCAGCAGTCAAAGGGAGACCACCTGGGAGGTGATCCTCTGTGGACGGACGGCCCGAGCGCGAGCGCGGCGACCGTCCCGCGGACCCCGTGAAGCCGTGAGACCAAAGGCTTTGGGCCCAGAGGTCTTTTTTGGTATCTGTTCGTATGTAGTAGGGAAACCAATCCCGAAACAACAGATACAGTAAAAGTTCCAGGTTATCAACTTTTCCTGGGTAGGTATGGCTGTTTGGTCATAGCAGCAAACCGCACGGGCACCACCCTACATGGGAGCTCCTTCGCTACATGCTCAACTCCCAGGGCGAGGAGTGCAAAAAGGCCCAACTCCCATATCCAAGCCACACCGGCTACTGCGTCAGCATGAGCTCTAGAAGTCACGGTGACAACCAATCAGGAATCACAAAGGGGGAGCCGAACTTGGAGGATAGGGGTGCCCAGCTACTCCACTCACTAGGGACTAAACATCACCCCTTTGTCCCTCCTGGCAGGGAGTCTGTTTAAAGGTTTTCCCCCTCCTCCCAAGCCACACCCATCATTGCTGGTCGCGCACCTTGGGCAAAGGTGCTGACAAATCCGTCTCAGCCATGCGGTGCTTAGCAGAGCACCTCAATAGAAAAGCAAGGGGGACGGTGCAAACCCTTACGGAACTCAAGGAAAACATAATGAACGCATCGTCTGAATTAGTTAGTCCAAATTCATCCAAATTCCAAATTGCTTTTACTTTGCAGCCATGGAATCTGTCACCGGGGGGCGTGTATGGCTGGTGAAATGGGATGTAAGGCACACTCTTCCTTGTTCATCATGGCATGGTAGGCACCCAATTGTGGCTTTCCATGTTGGGTGTTGACTGTTCTCGGTTTGGAGCAATGCTTGAAGCAAAACCAACATGAACAGCTTCAACAGCCCCCCCTGGTCTTAATCAGCCACATGCAAAAAACTCCATCCAGCCTACCAACACTCAAAAGCAGCACAAGCCCGGCAACCAAGTCCCAGCCGGGCTGCTCGAAAAAGGCCGCTGCCAACACGGTGACAGGCGCGGCAATGAGGAAGATGCGCCTCAGTTACTAGGGTACAGTGCCACTAGTCAAATATAGTAATGATGGCGTTTCATTGATTGGACTCCTGGGAGAGGGGGGTAGCCCGAGGACTTTGTGTGGGTCCTAAAGAGGGCCGTACTGTCTTGACCATCCAGGAAGTTCCATCACACCAAGTAGACTTGAGATAACCAAAGGAGGTCTGGTTCATTGGAATTGGCACCTCACAAAAATAGATAACTAGACGACGAGTGGCCCGAAAGCATTTTTCATCACGTAGGAAGTCAGAGTGCGAGTTATCCGGTAAGTGTGCAGTGAGAAGTGTGAAGTCGAGTGAGTTGAGGTAGTGTGTGGGTTTCTGTGCGTGTGTCTATTTGCGTGTGGAAATGAGTCTGCGTATGTGTGTGTTCGTGTAAGTTGAGGGAGTGTGTGGGTGTCTGTGTGTGATGCGGCCTCCCAAACCCCCCACCGGCGGCCAAGCCGTGACAGCCCAGCTCATCGTCCTGAGCATTTGGGCTGCTGGTAAGGGGACAATGGCAGCCAGCGTGCTGGC